ATTGCAGTCAGTGAGGTAGTTTTTAGTACTGTATAGCTGGTTTATTTAGAATTAATTTTTGTGCAGGCTCGAATCCACTAAAATCAAATAGTTTAAAAAATTAGCAAAAATTTTGTAAGCGACAAAAATTAGTTTCAATGAAAATTCAAACAGCGTAAATTTGAAGTCACAGAATAAACCAGCTCTGTGGTATAAATTTATAGATATACACAATTAATTTTGCTGTAGGTTGAAATACCAAGCTATGAAACCACCTACTGGTGTACAGGAGTAACTCTGGACTCTTCCATTACTGAAGAAGAGAAATATATCGTTAGAGTAAGCAATAGCTTTGAAACTGTAATACATGTTCCTGACAGATATCTCCTTACATTACATCTGGTAGTGAACCTTATGTACACCATATCCTTGTATATGTTTGTGACGGATTAGATAATTCCGATACAGGAAAAGGTGGGAATTGTGATAGTGAAATTAGTGATAATATGAGAAATTGTCTCAGTCAAACTCTAATTGCAGCATGGGCCGTTGGAGGCTCAGTAAGGGATAACTACTTCATTCATTTTGTTTAATGATCTCATTCATTCATTGGCAGGATTTTGTTTACCCTGAGCATGTTGCCTTTCCCATTGGTGGACCAAACGGTGAACAGTTTGCTGTCATACAATTGCATTATAATAATCCAGAACAGGTATCAGGTATGTACTGTAATATTATTTATTAAACATTATACCAGTATTATGTGTATTACAGGTATTACTGATAGTTCTGGTATTGTCTTCACTTACATTGACACAAGAAGGCAATATGATGCTGGGATCTTGTTTCTTGGTCACGCTGTTGCTCCTGTCATGATTATACCTCCTAACACAAACAACTTTAAGACCATTGGATTATGCAGTGATCCATGCACTAAAACAGTATAAATCTATTTATTTATTTAGAATCTGTACTTTAGTATGTACCTTTATTTTATAGTATTTCCCATCTTCCGGAATACACATATTTGCTAGCATGCTTCACACTCACCTAGCAGGTATGCTGCATCAATTATTAATACAAAATAATTAATCTATAATGATTATAGGCTCTGGAATAAAATTGGCTCATCTAAGCACAGCCGAGTGTACCAGTGAAGGGAAAACTGCCTATCAAGAGCTTCAACCGATTGAAAATAATCCACACTATGATTTTAATTTTCAGCAAGCTACTCACCTACCTCAAGAGATTACTGTATTACCAGTGAGACTTCATATATATTAGCATTTTAATACAGTACATCACTAATAGGGTGATACTTTACTGCTAGAGTGCAAGTACAACACAACTGGCAGAACTGGAGTGACATTAGTAAGCATAAGAGTACGGGGTCTTTGGTCAGATTTTTGAGCAACTTTAAGATTATTAATAAAAATCCTCAAGCTTTCTATGCAACATAAGTACATGTATGTGTAGCAGAAAAAATTATAAAAAGTTGAGAACTCTCTCCTTGCCATTTTTGACCAAGGACCCTGTACAGGGTCCTTGGTTGTTAGTTTTTCATACACCAATTTTTGAGCAACTTCAAAAATTCATTAAAAAATCTAATTTTCGTCAAAGTTGGGTTAAACTTTGTACGCAACATTAACACATGTATATATGAGAACAAATTGTAAAATGAGGAATTCTCTCACTATTTTTGATAAATTTGGCAATTTTTAAAATTTGTAAAAATCTAATTTTTGTTGGAAATGACTCAAACTTTCTAAGCAGTGTGACTACATGCATATATGTATCAAAAAAATTATAAAAATTGGAAACTCTCCTTTCCATTTTTGACCAAAGACCCTGTACAGAGCGGTACAGGGATTTTGGTCTGATTGATAAGCAACTTTAAAAATTCATAAAAAATATAATTTTTGTTGGAATAAGCTCAAACTTTCTAAGCAACATAAACACAATTTTATAAAAATGGGAAATTAAAATTTGGCCAAAATCCCTGTACTATGGATTTTTGTCTGATATTTAGGCAACGTTAAAAATTCATTCAAAGTCTAATTTTGGTCTTGTTTTTATCAATAATTAATTTTTTTAATTCAAAGGGAGGTGAGAGCA